ATGGAATACAACATATTTAATATGCTATTATTTTAGCACAAATAGACACATGTAAGAGCATTTTAATGTAGTTCTTCAATATGGAGCCAATTTGAGATTTTCTTTACTACTGGGTAAATAAATAATATAGCACTGCATCATTCCATATACATATCACCGCATATCAAATGAACAGACATTCATAAAATAAAACACTATTATAGGTGAAATCAAATGCACCACACGCTGCTGCAGGTGGAGGAGCTGGAGATACTCCAAAAATAAATATATTTATGTTACGTGGATAAATGGCTTTAACATAACCACCCAAGTAGACGTTCAAAAGCATATTTGACATTCCCTGCTTTTTACACTAGCACTGAGAAGGAGTCTAGTCACAAGTCATGATTTAAACATGTAGAAATCACACAAAAAAGGCAATCACTTACATTTGTTCTCCTGCCAAGCATCATTTAAACTATTTCTGAATCAAATAATTCCATCCATTAAGAATGTAACATAGGATCATACTTTATTTCATCACAAAGTAGGCAGTAGTCCTCTGTGCCTGCGTAAAGGACAGAGGATCGGAGCGTTCCTCTGGGCCTGGCAGACTGCAGCTCCTGCACCCCTGCACTGTGGCATCAGTATTCCAGGCCCGTCCGTGGACACAGCGTTCCCTGAGCTGACGGAGGCCGCCCTGCACTCTGTCTCCCATCACTCCACCAGAGGGCAGAGCACAGCGCTCCATTTGCTTCACGCATCCAAGAGCACTTTGTGTGCTGTAGCCTACTTTGGTTCCTCCTCTTTATCTTCCCCTCTCTCCTTTTTGTTGAAATGCCCTCTATTCAGAGCTGGATTTAAAAGCTTCAGATGATTTGTAAAATAGCAGTGACATAGCTCAGACTCTTTGGTCCATATATTTTTTATTCAGGAAATGGTTAAGCTTCGTACTGCTTGTATCAGCAGAGGGGGGTGATGTGAATGTGTCATGTCAGACTATGTTTGCTCCAATGATTTTTTTTTTTCTTTTTCAGTTGGTTGACCGTGCTTATAGCTCGCTGTTGCCATTCAACTCTGAATGACCCAAAAATAACTCAGGGTTAGCGCAGTCAGCAACTGTTCTCTGGTCAGCACAAACAACAGACAAACACACACAAACACACACAGACTCTTATACATTCCAGATTCAGTGTTTGCACGCACAGGAAAAAGATAAACATTCCTCTGACCAAAAATCCACACAAACAAACACATATTTCAGGTTGCATTTTCTTGTCATTGCAGCTTTGACAGTGCATCTCTTCAGCCTTCTTCTCAGTTAACTTAAAGCTGGCTGTAGCTTTCTGAGGGCCCACACTCTGACTCTGTCGCAGAACGTTGTCCAGAGAGAGGTCATTTGCTGATTCGATTAGGTTATTTAACCTTGCAGCCTGACAGAAACGTAAAGCCAAGCACAGGAACAAAGTTCACAGCCGAAGGAGGAAACAGGGTGTTCCTCATGCCTCGACTTCTCCCCCAGATACCTTCCCTGGAGTGACCCCACCCCAACATCTACCGCTGGGCTGTTCTCCACCCTCTTTTGATCACTGCAGAGACACTGTATCACCACAGCAGGACTAAGGAGAGGAGTGAGTTAAGGTAAGCAGGAGAACAGGCGGTCCTGGGGATGAAAGTTAGTTTCTTCTGAATTACTGACATTGTTAATCCTATTGACAAAGTTAAAGAGATTCAATGACGCTTATTGGGCACTACATTTACAGTGATTCAAGTCAAGTATACGTATACTCACCCACTGAGGTGTTTATAAAAGTTAATAATGCTTGCCAAAAAGTGGCCGTTCAACTTTTTTTCAAAACACTGCAAATGCTAAGGGTTATCATGGCCCAGTAGTTTAGGAAGGAAAATAACATGTCATACAAAAACACACAATATAATGCCATATGAGAGGTTTTCCCCTATCCTTTCTCTTTCCTCTCGTCCTATATTCAATACATGTCACTGTGTGCCCTTGAGCAAAAAGGGGATGGATATCTGGCATTACGGGCCCCGCCCCGACTGGGGGGGGAAGCTGTCATTAGTTCCGAGAATATCATTAGTATTAGCGCTGGAGTGTCGCCTGACCCTCCCTGACATCACTGTACAGTGTCCAACTCTGTCAGCCTGCCAAGAAATAAATAAATAGAACAGCTTTGACTCTTCAAGGGCATGTCTCACTTCCTCTGGACTCTAGCTCCCCTCTGTGATGGGCCAGAGGAAGAGGAGGAGGAGGAGGAGGAGGAGGAGAAGGGAAAGTTTCTTCATCCCACACCTGCACAGTGAATCAACCAATCAGGTGCTGCTGGATAGACCATAAACCACATTAATGTTACTTGCACCTTTCAGTCCAGTGTTGCTTCATATTTTAATATATATTGTGTTGTTAGTTTTGCTTTTAACCATTTCACCAGCTGAAACCTCATCTTATTGAAATTAGGAAAATTAGCACTCCAACTTCATGACGCATCATGTTTATGCATTTTAAACTTTTGTGTGTGTGTGTGTGTCATTGACCTGGCCATTGTCTTTCTCAGCGTTCACAAACTGAAGCACCACTTACACATGGTTAACAATAAACTACTCAGTTAGGTTTGGTAAGTTTAGAAATGTAGATGTTATATGCTGTTTGGTGATACCAGGCCTGTGGGTTTATAACTGTATCCCAGAATTATTTTTGTTTTACACGAACCAATGCCCGAGACCACTTGAATCTTGAATATGAAACGAGGGCAGAACTTGTCTCCCAATCTGTGGCAGAATTAATGTTTTTTTACACAGCCGTTTACCTGCTGTTTCGCAGATCCAACCTACAGCGAAATATGTCCAAAATGTTGCAAGAGAGAAGACAGAGAGACAAGTGGGGAGGATATGACTAAGAGGAGGCGAGGAAAGGTAGAAAAACCCATGAATTATTCAATGCTGAAACATATTAAAAATGAGATTCAGACACCTGCACAGAGGCAGGTGCTTCTTTATGAGAAAGCCAGTATCTCTAAGCCTCCTCCCCGACACATACACACACTTTCTCTTTAGTGTAATCCGGGCTTGTAGAATGACTTCTGCTTATGAATTCTGAATAAAAATGACTATACATAAAAAAGCCCTATTCATTTAGACTGCTTCGTTGACATATTTTCCCTCTCAAATGTATGGAGAGCGGCTTGTGTCGGTGAACCCAGATAATGGCAAATCAGGATCTCAGCACTTTTTCTAGAAACTTTTTCTTATTTGACAAATCTGCTGGCCTAACATGGAACAGCATATATATATTATCAAACAGATCTGTATACATGCTTTGAATCCCTTTATTTTAATTATTTATTTTGCTAAGAAGGACCTCTTTTTGCACTCAACACATTTATAAAACACGCCACAGTCCTCAAGTAGAGAAGAAACCCCTTTTGTCGCACTAATACATTGGCTTTGTATATCTGCATATGTGAGCACTGTCACACACTCAGCGCAGTATGTTACCCTGAAAGCCTGGCTTGTAGGGCAACAGTGTGGAAAGGGGTTGGATGTTCTCTTTACAGGGAAATTGCCCGTAGAATAAACCTGGTGTTGTTATTGCAAACCTGTGTTTCTTTCCCACGATTGTCCTAGAAAGACTTCACGATTGTCTGTGTTTTACACAATGTCTTCTCCGAGGCTTCTTACCACGAAGAGAGAACACAAACAAGCTCACTGGTGTTTACAAGAGGAAGAACTTTTTGAAAAATGGCAGAATATATTAAACTCAGCCGTATAACTGGCAGGAATTTGAGGTTAAAATGTTCTCTGACTCTATTATCCCACTTGCAGGCACAAACTCATCTCCACTTTAGAGGAGTTTCATCGGGTAAGTACTGATATTTTCGGTGTGTGACCCCCAGTGGTCGATTACAGCGTGTTATCACCATTTTACAACAACAGGCAGAGGCTGTGGTTTTATGTCTGACAGCTCAGCTTTTATTTGTATGGCTGTATAAAGGCTGATGCCAATATATTTTAGAAAGAAGTTGTCAAGTGCCAATATTATGAGTCGATATTCAGTGTGTGGAAATATTGGCCATTTTCAAACCCAAAACTGTTTCTTTACGCGTTTCTTCGTTTCTGTCTTTTTAGGATTGGTTATCAAATAGAAGCACAAGAGCACACACACAGACACACAAGCAGTGCGATGGCTGTGAGGACTCTACTCATATGATACTTTCCCAGTGGAGGGAAGTCACCAAGTACATTTACTCAAGTACTGTACTATTTCCAGGTACTTAGTTGAGTATTTCCATTTCTGCTATGCCATAACATTTTGTAAGCAAATACTGTAATTTTTACTTAACATTTACTTGATAACTTTAGTTTCTAGGTACTATGTGTATTATAATTCTAACTAAAGTGATAAATACATCAGTGCATTAATAATTATACAGTCATATTGTGATATTCTAAGAGGGGACATACATTTTTACCTTACTGGGGTTGACTTTGTTGCTAGGTATGAAGCATTCTTTCTAAAAAGATTTGTTTGGTTGACTAATACATAAAAAAATGGATGCACTCCAATTGACAATAGGCATATAATGGGAAAGTAAATGAATAGCCCCTTATCCTCATTATCAACAAACTTTGAACAGCCCTGTATGCAAAGTATGCAACAAATAGTTTTTTTTTAAGACTCTCTAAGATTTGCTTGTTTCAGGTAAGACACTGGGTTTGCTAAAAAAAAATGTAATGGACTCTAACAATCCTTGAAATCAAACAATCTGGGACTGAAAAGTGTTTGTCAATCACATCCACACTGAGGTCACAACTTGTGATGTAAGTCACAAGCATAATTCATTTGAAGGGGCTCATTTTGAGGATTACTGGTTTACCCATACTGCCGTTCTGTAAAAAGGAAACAGAATTGTAGATCTGATGATGGGACAGCCATAAATGTTAGTACTTAAAAACAAGAACGTAATATATGTTAAAGTGTGTTAGAGACACGCAGTGAAACATGGTGATTTGTTCCCCCTAGGGTTCGTATTTTATTCATCAGGACTTGATGTATCCAAGTATAGGATCATTCGGTTTTGGCACCTTTAAAGAATCATTTTAAATTGAACAACACATTAAAAATCAAAAGAAACAAAGAAATGACTAAGGCTGTGTGAGTTTTAAAAATAAAATACATACATACATATATTTATATATTTATAAATCAATCAACCAAACCATTTAAAAAAGCAGTTTTGTTCAATGTAGATTGTTTGGTTTGTCTCACAAAAGCAATAAGATCAAATGAACTAAATAAATAAAAAATAAGAAAAACACACATGAAAACATTAATACTTTAAATTTTAGCGTCTTTGCTTTTTTTCCCCTTATAATAATTAACTTTTAAAACTTAAGTTTCTCAAGAGCAGATTTGCTGTAATTTTATAGCATGCATTTAATTTCTGAAAATTGTCACTTAGCTTTTCTTGTACTATTTCATATTTAACTTGTTTTTATTTTTGTGTTTGGCGTCCTCTTCTTTTCCTTCCCTCTGCTCCTTCCTTTTTTTTGTTGAAGTCGTGTTTGGAGTCTTTGTGAACTTTGACCCCTTTGGTTGGCTCTTTCTGTTAAGGGGTTCAAGTCTCCCGTTACGACCCCCCAAAAAAAGAAAGTGAACAGGGACTGAGAAAAAGACGAGAAGGTTCTATTAAAATAATAGATATTATTCTACTGTTGACTATCTGTACCTGCCTCTGGTGGCATCAGTCGCCGTGTACTGCTGCTACCTGAAGCCCCTCCTCTTGTTCTCAACCTTCAAATGAACAGATACTAAAAGAGTCATTTCTCATCTTACCAACAGCACTTGGTTAAGTTAACTTGTTTTTTTTTTGTTTTTTGCTTCGGTAAAGTCTGTAACTCTTGATTATTAACGTAATAATTTATTTATAAAAGTAATACATATATATATATAGTACCTTTGTTAGAGATTACAGATTGGGCTAATTCTTACTGAATCCCAAACTGTAACAATTCACAGTTTTAATGCAAAAAATGAACAAATGAGTCAATAAATAAAGGAGGTGTATATCTGAGCGGTTGGCTTGCTGAGGGGGAGCTTGACATGTTGACAACCAAACATGTGGGGCAAAAGTGTCAAACCAAGCGGCAATGAAATCATGAAATCTTTATCTCATAAATGCCCTCCCGCCCTCCCTTTCAGTGCCAAAAAACCTCATAAACAAACCCTGCGCAAAAAATGACAGATCTCACACTCTGACCCATTCTCACTGTTCTGCCATTCAATCCAGGGACACAGCAGATTGTTGAAGCTCTCTCAACAATGGTAATGGAAAAGTCATGCAGCTGAACAAAAAGAACAAATGTCTATAAACATGGAAATCCATCTTCTCCTGGGGTGGACTGCACCCACAGGGGTTCCCGTGTCTCCCGCTCTCCGCTGGCCTGTCTCGACTCCCTCATACCGGCGTGGTGCGGCGGTTCGCTGTGTTGGTCTGGCTCGAGTCTTTCAGGTCCTTCTGGATGGAGTTGTGGACTTGCAGGAAGGTGTGGTCCCTCTCCGAGTTGTAGGTGGCGGTGGGCGTGCCGGAGGACTTGAGGGTGTCCCGGGGAAGCGTGTACATGGAGATCTCTGTAGATGGCAGCGCGCTGAAGCCCTTGAGGCCCACAGGCGAGGTGTCACGGGAGTGTGAGGGGTCTGTGGAGCGGGAGGAGGAGCGCGAGCGACGCCTGTAGCGGTAGCGGTAGCTTGGGATTCGCGTTATGGCCGAGCCTTGGAGGTAGTCGGCTGCACGCGCCCCTATTCGGAGCTGTCGATGCCGGTCGATGAACATGTGCACGGCCAAAACGCCTACCATCTCAGCCATGATGAAGGAGAGGGCACCGAAGTAGAAGGACCAGCCGTAAGAGTAGCTGTTCTTCTTTGAGTCGCTTTTTGAAGGGTCCCCCGCGTTGGCTGATATGTACACAATGATCCCGATGATGTTGCTCAGGCCTGTAGGGTTGGGAGGTAGAAGAAGAAATAAGGAGAAAACACAATGAAAACATGACACAAAGTATCAGTCAGAATGAGCTCATAGTTATTCTTAGTGCATGCTTAACTTATTACGCAGTATCATACCAAATATGTTCTGATTCATGCACTGTACACAGTGTACTAATCCTGTACAACTCCCCATCCAACATGACTGATCTGAGTCTCCTAATCTTTGCCCTCACAGCGAGAAACAAGGCGGCTTCAATTTTTGATGCAGACCATTTGAGACAGACATAATCCACCACATCATGCATCCACACATATATTTACTCTGACTTAGTTAGTTAAGTCACACATGGAGAAATGTATGACATGGTAATTCTGGGGGGATGAAATGTAGGGAAAGTGTGTCAGGGACACAATATTTTTAGAAATGAGTCCCAATGGATGGCTTTTAGCCCAGCAACAGGATCAAGAGAAAAGAAAGGAGGACAAGAGAAGGAAGAATAGAAGAAGTGACTTGTAGCTGCATTTCAAGAGGCAACGAACGTGGCCTTTTGGATTGATGTGATGGTATATTGTTGATTACTGGAGAAGTAAGTAACGACACGTTTTTTTATTGCTTAGGTTTTGCAAAAAGTCTGTGTACAGCTCACCTGGCTCTTAAGGTAACAAAAACTCCCTAACAACACCTCAAAACGTGTTTGTGTTTAACAAAGAATGTACACTGAACAAAAATATAAATGCAACACTTTTGTTTTTGCTCCCATTTTTCATGAGATGAACTCAAAGATCTAAAACATTTTCTATATACACAAAATAACAATTTCTCTCAAATATTGTTCACAAATCTGAAAAAATCTGTGATAGTGAGCACTTCTCCTTTGCCGAGATAATCCATCCCACCTCACAGGTGTGGCATATCAAGATGCTGATTAGACAGCATGATGATTGCACAGGTGTGCCTTGGACTGGCCACAATAAAAGGCCACTCTGAAACGTGCAGTTTTGCTTTATTGGGGGGGTCTGGGGGGGTCCGAAAACCCTAGGGTTAAACCCTAACCCTAACCCTAACCCTAACATGTCACCCATCTCCTTCGCATAGAGTTGATCAGGTTGTTGATTGTGGCCGGTGGAATGTTGGTCCACTCCTCTTCAATGGCTGTGCCAAGTTGCTGGATATTGGCAGGAACTGGAACACGCTGTCGTATGCGCCGATCCAGAGCATCCCAAACATGCTCAATGGGTGACATGTTAGGGGTAGGGTTACCCTAGGGAGTTTTCGGACCCCCCCAATAAAAGCAAAATTGCACGTTTCAGAGTTGGCCTTTATTGGGCAGCTAACAGCGCACCCTGTGCCAAATATCTGCTGCTCTAATCGCATCTGTGGGATTGCACACCTCGTGGGAGGTGGGATGGATTCTCTGGCAAAGAGAAATGCCACTATCACAGATTTTTAGATTTTGTGAACAATATTTGAGAGAAATGGTATTCTGTATAATAGAAAATATTTTGAATCTTTGAAGTTCTCCATGAAAAATGGAGCAAAACAAAAGTGTTGCATTATATTTTTGTTCAGTTGTATAATGTGTTTGTGTGTTAGGAAGGTGTTCGGCAGATTTTGTACCTTTGGACAGTGCTAGCTTTTCCCCCTGTTTCCAGTCCTGCCAGTCTTAGCAAGTTTAACGATAGCTGGCTGGTAAAATAAGGGCTACGAAATCTTATAAAACACTGTTAGATATTTGTGTTGATTTAAAGCTGCTTTTCGTTTGACTGTTATTGTAAAGCCGCTGCAGATCAAAGGTAAGGTAAAAGTAGAAATATAAACAAGTTAGAATTCTCTGTAAACTGTCAGATTAAATACCGTAAAACCACACATATTTCCTCTCTGAATTGTAGTGGAATTAGAATATAAAAGTAGCAAAAAATGGCAACATAATGTAAATACTCTTAAATTGGTACTACTCACCCAGGTCCGTATTAAAAAGACACAATTGTTTTGCAGATCTCTACTCAACGAACACAA